CCAAAAACCCCAAAGGTGAGTGCTATTGTAAAATATGAAATGAAGGGGTCAGTCAAAGGGGAATGTCTGTGTCTCTGCTGCCAAAGCACGGCAGGACTGCAAATATCCCCTAGAATGAAAACAAACCTTGGAAAGAGACGCAGGGGAGCAGACAAAATAATAATAATTCTGTCTGTCAGAGATATTTTCAACATCCTGAGCGGCTACACCGCAGCCAATCAATTACAATCAGCTGTGTTATCATTGCCAGTGTACTTTAACTTTGTGGCTTTGTGAGGATGACAGAGAGCTGAAGTGAATTGATTGATCACACTGGAGAGCTTTGACCAGTGTTTATCCGTGTGAGTCTGTAATGAGCAACACAACCATGTTAGAAGCTCCTCAGTAAAACAGACTGGCGCTACAGTTACCAACAGAGTGCACATCTAGATTGAGGGTGCTGCCTGTACATTGCAACCATATGTTTCCTGTATAAAGTCAATTTAGCAACGTGTTTTAATCTATTGTATTACATGGGAATTCATCAAGGAGCATATACAATCACAAATGAATCCACGTCTGTCACTAGTCTTCCTCTCCGTCCATCTTACTCTGACACTAAGACCTCCTAGCTTAATCTGGCCTAAGCTGGTGAGACGCAGTAAAGCACAGAGGAATCAGGATTGCATCCAGTGGGAACATTGTCCTAATCCCCTTCTGCCCTCTCCTTTGTAAACACTCTTCTCTTCGTCAGGGTCACTGATGCTTTTTTCCCCCTCCTCTTGTCTTGTTGTCACAATGTGCTTCAGAAGAGACGCCGGGAAAACATAGAGGAAAGGAGCAAGGAGTGTGGATTTCTTATGATCTCGAAGAAACCTGAGCCTCACGTGGCGAGTGAGGCCTCATGGACGGAGCATGCCATGTGCTAGAGCGGTGAGGCAGTGGGAGATCAGGCCCACGTCTGCTCTGTGGGTGATCAGACGCACCAGGGCCCTGATGTGGCAGTGGATACGGGGACTCGTCCGGGCCTGCCGGCATGGTGTGGGATACTCAATGAACTACAGTGACCCGATCCAAGAGGAACAGGAGATGGTGTGCCTTGAGGTATGGTCATGTTATAGTTCTTTCCCCCGCTAATAAGCGCAACTGTTTTTGATAATAGCTTCATTATCATAAACATAGCTCTGATTAATACTGTAGAGCTCATTTTCTTGGAGCAAATACAGTCAAGAGTCACCAACCATGAAGTAAAACTACAACTGTACATTGCTTTATTTTTGCTCAGAGTACATATTTCAGAAACTTTTGAAGCACAGGACACTAATCACTGTTTTGCTTGTTTGTTGTTGCACTAATAAGCAGCCATAAATAATGAAATAACATAAGTCTGTTGCTGAAAGTGTCAAAAAAGAGTCTAATTTAACATTGGAAGTTTGCAGTAGCAGTATATCTTCAAACGTCTTACAAATTATATTTTCATATTATTAATCACCTTCAGTAAATTAAATTTTATACTCATACTTTGTTGTTGTTGTTGTTGGTTTGTTATGTTATTGTAAATGGACTGCTCCTGTCTTAGCGTCAGAAGCTCTTTTTGCTTCTTGCCAAACTTCTATTTAAGGAAGCACTTCCTGTCTAAACAAGGCTTAAGAAGATTAAAAGAAGAAAATGGTGTGTCCTGAAATAGTGTGATATTAGTCAGTAACAATCCAAACAAAGTTGTTCAGTCAGTCACCCAGACAGTCAAAATACATGACAGAACATCCCAGTGCAATATTTAATGAGAAACAACTAAGGGAGTTGTGAGTATGTTCAGTCATTTCTAAAAATAGTCTGAAAATGTGACTTTGCTCAGAGTTTGGCAGCAGCATCATTATGCGTAAATGGATAATTAAAGATTTCCAATAGCCTGCTGTAGTAAGGGGAACTATGTTACTATTCACAGAGGGGAAGGGATTGTAAAGGAGCCATGAGGACACAGGAGCTGCTCCCAGAAGTCCCTGAGAGGAAGGACAGAGTAGTCAGTTCAGGTCATTAACATAAATTTCACAAATGTGTTTGTGAAATGGCCATGTCTCTGCAAGCAGAACTGGAGCCTGATGAAATCCAGTCAAAATATTTATAACTAAATAGAAATAAAAGTATTTGGAACACAACCATTATTGGGTGAGAAATGACATTGAAATAGTACTCTGATATATCATAGTAATTCAATATAACAATAATTCCATGCATTCTTCTTGCTAACCTAGTGCCTACATTACCCACAATGCACACAAAATCTTCAGTCTCAGATTCAGATGTGTTATGCTAGTAGCGAGAACTTGTAGTCCAAACTGACACACTTGAGGCAGTTTAAGTGATGTATCAGCCACACCATGATTTATACAATCAGAGCAAAGAGAGCAAAGGTCTCCTTCCACTTAGTAACTATTAATGGTCTCAAGAGCTCCTACACATTTTAAGAATTGACCTGTACTGTCAGTGTGTACGCGCAATTTGAAATTATGCATGGAGATATGATAAATGATCATATTTCTGACCATGAGTCCAGGTTTAGTACCTCTGCAGCAAACACAGCACTCACAAATACACTTAGAAAAAGCTTCTTCCCTCCAGTCATCAGGAGGAACTCCTGACATCTGACCTCTGTATATCAGAATCAAGTGACGATCAAGAAAAAGGTCAGATAGAAAGCAAAGCAAGATTTGGCTTTTTAAATAGCCCAATAGAATTGTGTTTACTCTAACTGATTGGGGTAATTTGGACAATCAGTTTGTGCGGAGACCTATTGGCTGGATTTATGATGATAATGTGATGTTAAAGTAAGAAAAACAAAAGAACAGATGACTGTGTAACTTGGTTACAAGAAGTAACACGCTGATTGCATTTTATTAAATTGAGCCTGACATTTACAGTACAAAGAGCAACTTGATCAACACACCTGGAGGAAACAGAAAAAATAATTAGAAGAACAATAAGGCAGCAGCAAATAATAATCAAATGGAGGGAAAATAAATAATGTTTCCTATTCTGTTGCCATCTTTGTGGCTGTGATTAGACAATTCATCTTCACTCTCGAGATGCTCACAGATGCCACACATGATCTCTTGAGGTGTTGGTAACACACTTCCTCTCTGGTGCCTATCTGCATGTTGAGCTCCAGTGATTTAATCTACAGTTAATTCTATCTTCCTCAAAGCTTCACAATGCTTTGAATCCCCTTAATCACATATTGAAAAGACTTCATTCATCCTGTCACCCAGCTCTGGCGTCCTACTCCTCCGTGTGACCTTGTGTTTTTAGACTCCCTCCTCCACTTGGCATTGTGCCCTCAGAGGGAGAAGTCTGTGTGTTCATCGAATCACAGCAGCATAAAGTATTATTCCTTTCTCGCGTGTGTATGTATCAATCTCACATTGCTATTTGTGGGTCTGTGTTGCGTAACGTGAACACAGGGGAAGGTGTTAAATGAAGTGTTGTGGAGAAAGTCACATGTTCATGACTCTGGAGGGGAATAAAGATGTGTGGATGCTTAGGGCACGCCCCAGTTCAGCACAGTCAGAAAGTAATTCATCTGGACAGGAAAGAAATCTATGTCTTTTCCCTTTTTTGGTCAGATAACAGAACAGATGAATGCCTGATCCCAAAGTGGTTCAACAGGCAGTATTATAGAACCGTACCGGGTCTTTGCAGACACTGTAAGAACAGTTCTCCAATCAGTTTTGTATTACAAGTTGCAGCACTTCTTATTACAATGTGGGACCGGTGACATTCATTACCATGTTGTCAAAGAACATCTTGACTGACAATGTGACACAGGCAGGCATCAGCACAAATGTGTTGGTGTAAATTAAGAAGATAATTACATAAAATACAGTATGTTGTACTAGACTTTTGAAGAATAGGCAGAGTGCCATCTGGTGTTTGTACAAAGCAAGACATGGCATGCACCTAAAAGCACAGTATTAATAAAGGCATATGCATTGAAAGATATGTGTGAAAATGTACATCCCACTATCTCTGGGTGGATTGTGTGTCAGATAGCATTTACACTAGCACAGTGTGATACTCATACAAGCACGTGAAATATTATTCATCATATTAAAAAAGTCATATCTGTCAAACATTCACATGAGCAGTGTAGCCCTATAAGTCAGTTAGTGCTTTACCATAATGTGCATGGAGAACATGTTAGTGCTGTAGTTTGAGCAACCTTCAGATGGCAGTGTTGTCGTACATCATTACTGGTTGCAGGCCTGTACTGGAGATTACAAGGCACACATAATCCGTAAAAGAGATAAAAAAAAAAGCTAAATGCTTAAATGCAACAGGCCTGGGCATACTGTATATAATGTATCAAGGAGAAATGTCAACCTATGAGTTAATTTGAAGTTTATTTAACAGGGATAATACAAATTGTTGCATAGGGGGAAGCAATGCAACAGATGTAATGTCTTTTAACTACTAATTAAATAGCAGCTGCCATCACTGATGAATCTTTTAAATTCCGGTTAAACAACTAAACAAACAAATGGATGCAGCATATTCAGTTGTACATGTATGTGTCTGAGCGTATGTATGTGACAAGGGGATTAAAACTCATTCACCGTTCACGAAATGGAAAACGGTGATGGATGGATTAATCAAGAATGTTTAACTCACAGCAGAAATGTAAGACTGAACTCCACAAATGATATAACAATGGCTGTCAAAATCACGTTGAAACAACTGCTGCACTCTTATCAGCTGCTGGCTGTTTCAGCACCATAGACAGCGACTTCAGGAAGAGGCTTAGTGGCGCATGTGCCAAACAAATTTGTGTTTATATTTTTGAATAGGATTTTAATTTGTAAATAGCTGTAATGCGACGAGAGCTCAAGTTATATTTTATTTTATTATATTTTTTGTCTGGTGCGTGTTTTAGGCTTAATTTCCCGTTCCTCTTCGTCTTCTTTCTTATAAACTGCCATCACGCAGTTGCTTTAATAGTCCGTTTCTCGCACGCAAGGTGAAGGACCTGCACCGCACTGTAAACCTGTGCCATACTGTCGGGGTTTACTCTCTTCACTGGGCTACTACGAGTTGGAGAGAAGACGCATGCGTACTGACTTGAAGCAGCCGGTCGGGGGGGAAAAAGCCTTATGTGCCATCGGATGTAATCAAGGCAAAGAATTACCTCTTCTCGCTGTGCATACATGGTGAAATTGTAAGTACTGGCAGCAAACCGATGTATCATTGCACGGACATTTCGTGAGCGTAGCTTTTGAGGCCGTTTCCCGGCGTTTTAAATGGCATGACACTATCTTGCTGTACAGTGGGGCTTTTAACAGATCTAGGCAGTGTCTTTTCGGTGGTTGTCCAGGGCGATGAAGCTCTACGGTTCTTCATGGTGGCACTTTCCATTGATGTGATGTGGTGCGAGTTGCTAATGCAATGGTTTCTGCTGTTAAATCGCGCAGGAACCATTCAATCCCAACTGTCGTTCACATTTCTGCTACAGTAAGATTGAAGAAGAATTGTGCTTTGTTTTGTGTTATCATGATTTATCCTTTGAATGGATACGACCACCCCCACCCCCCATTTCATCGTCTATAGCTGTTGAGTCAAGCCATAGCGCACTGCAAATTGTGTCAGCTTTGAAGTGCCCGACACCTAACGCGTAAAATATGCCATTTGGCAAGACGCACGAAACCTGCATCCGAAGCCAGCTCCGAATCTGAGGGAAACCGCGCTCGGATCCATTTTAGAAAATGACCAAATGGTATTGTATTCACTGAAAGGCTGTGATAGAGCGATGCTGCGGTTATAGATTTGCAAGCTGCGCCTTCGGGGCCCCCCTCCCATGTACCAAATCTCCTGACATTTTTTTTAAAGCATCGTTTCTTGTGTCAGGTAGTAGCCGGATGATGCCGTGTGTTTGGAAGCGACAGCTTTGTTACATAAATGATCTGACAGGATTTGGCAGTGTCTGACCTGGTGATGACACGTTTGTTAAAAATCAGACAAGAAGTCATTCTGTGAGCATAGCCTGCCTGTACTCTATAGGCCTACAGATCTTAATGGGGATTCTGTTGAATACGCTAGAGAGCTATGGTCACAATTATAACACAGTAATTTCTCATGAACATGGGATGCAGCCTAAAGGTGCGTGACAAAGTGACATTGGATGAGTAAAAAAATCCAAAAAAGATATTTGCATTAATTTTTATGTGTATTTAATTTATTGCTCCATTTGGGCCCAGTGAGCATTACAAATCCCTTAATGCACTGCTTTTACACTCAGGCTTCCACAAATGGGATATTTCAAATTTTGGATTATGGACATTGAGCCTATGTTCAACAATCCATCGCTTTTACACATGCAGTTAAGAGTGTATAACACGCAGCCATTGTGAGATTATAGGGACTGAAATGTGCTTGGCGGGTGCATATTTGGCAGCAGGAAAAACAAAATCAGCAAATTATTCTTCCACACTTTTGCCCTGAGTAGAGCAAACAGCATTCCTTTACAGTGTGACCTCTGGGCATGCCAGCACACGCTGGAGCCAGAGCACACATAGCAAAAACATAGGTGTCAACTGGTGAGTGGTAAATTGAATAAATCTAATTAATCGTTACCATGGTGAAAGTGATCAGAGTGCTGGTAAAAAATGGATGCACTGTCAGGATTTCACACCGGTCTCGTTACAGTACACCCAGTGCCGTCCTTACTATCTGTATGCCACTGGCACTAATTTGTATGACACACATGCATTGCAAGTTAGGATATTTTTTTTACCACAAGATAAAATCTCAGTTAAATACAATTCCTGACATCTAAACACTAAACTCAGTGCCTCTCCTCTGTCTGTAGCCCATGGGATCAGAGCGGATGGAGATGCGAAAGAGGCAGATGTCGGTGCAGCAGGAGTCGGCAGCAGGGGGAACTGCACCGCCCCAGCAGGGCCAGCCGGGCCAGGCCAACCCACGGGGCTCAAACGCATGTTGCTTCTGCTGGTGCTGCTGCTGTAGCTGTTCCTGGTAGGTCTTCCCCTCCCCGAGAACTCATTCATTGTGGCCCAGCATGTCCGACATTATTGCACACAGGACAGCACAGCCTGAGCTACTGTGTCTCAGCAGCAGGCTTCAGCTTGTGTCTTATTCTTGATATTTTTGCATGTGCATGTGATCTGCGGACATGCCTTATCTGCTGTGAATGTGAGACACAGTAAAGAACACATTTACAAGATGATACAGAGACAGGCATACAGCTAAACAGATATAAGTCATCACATAGCTATTATGTACAGGCAAGAGTTAGACCACAGTATCTATAATATCTGTACAATATCTGTACATATAGTAAACATTTTCATTATCGAATAATCGACTAATTAATCTTTTGGTCTATAAAATGTTAGAAAATTGTGAAAAATATCCATCACAATAACCCAGACTCAAGTTGACTGCCTCAAATTGCTCGACCAATAGTCTTAAACCCAAAGATATTCACTTTACTATCGTAGGAGAATAAGAAAGCTAGCAAATATTTACATTTGAGAGTCTGGTACCAGTGAAAGTTTGGCATTTTTTGATTAAAAATAATGTAAAATGAACATAAATTGATTATCAAAATAGTTTTCCATCAGCTAATTGATAAATTGACTTATAATTGCAGCTCTACAAGTGAGATTGCGTGCCAAAGAATAGCAGAATGCTGGGATAAATATTATATTGTATATAATATAATTAATTAATATAGTGTTAATAGTTGCACTGTTCACAGTGGTGGCCCATATGCACAGCAAATACAGTCTGCTTAGACTTGTGTATCACAATGGAAAGATATTTAGCACATGTTATAAATAAAAGTTAAATGGTAGATATGTACAGTAAGATGTGAATACATAACACAGAGCCATTAATAAATAACTTCTTTAGATAAGGGATGATGTGCTGTTCGTAATCCATCTTTCTGTTGCATGCCATGTTGCCATGTCACCATTAGGAATGAAGACCGGGATGAAAGGAACCGAAAGGCTTCTTATGACGTCAAGGAAGGGACCCCAGACTGTGAAGACTGGTCAGTTGATTTCACTGCACAAAAAAAGTAAATCTTTTAATCGTATTTGTGGAAAATGAATGTAGAACTCACTCACTCCTGTGTTGCCCACGCTCTCTGCAGTCCTAAGCCCACGCTGGAGGAGGTGCGCTTATGGGGGCAGTCGTTTGACAAGCTGATGTGTTGCCCAGCGGGGAGGAACTCCTTCCGACAGTTTCTTCGCACTGAGTTCAGCGAGGAGAACATGCTCTTCTGGTTAGCCTGTGATGAGTTCAGCCAAGAGACCAATAAGAGCACAATAGAGGAGAAGGCTCGGGTCATCTACGAGGACTACATCTCCATTCTCTCACCTAAAGAGGTCAGACAGCTCTTTATTCACGGTTATTAGAAATGTGTTAAATTTCAAGGGTGAAACTTCATGATATTCTTCTCATTCTCCCTGACATTAAAGGAACGGTTTGACATTTGGGGAAATTCTTAGCTTTCGTACACAGAATCAGATAAGCAGATTGATACCACTATGAATATGGCGCTTCAGCCAGCAGCTCATTAGCTTAGCTTAGCATAAAGACTTGAAACGGGTGGAAACAGCTAGCCAGGCTTTCTGCAAAGGTAACAAAATCTGCCGACGGGCACCTTTAAAGCTCACTAATTCACAAGTTGTATCTGGTTTGTTTAATCCATACAAAAAGCAAAGTATAATTTGGAGTTTTAGAGGGGTTGACTATATCTTGGCTCTGAGCAGTTGCCAGGCAACTACTGGAAGTTTCTCGTCCCAGCCATGAAATGGTCCAGCCCATAACTCCCATAGAACTCCAAATTGTTGAGATATCACGACCTGGCTAGCAGTTTTCCCGTTTCCAGCCTTTGTGCTAAGCTAAGTTGGTTGTAGCTTCATATTTATTTTTCAGATCAATTATGTCATAAACTGTTCGGTAACAAAGAAATAAGCTTATTTCTAAAAATGTCAAACTATTCCTTTAACAGTTTCATTGAGAATGCGCACTTGCTGTTTTCCTCATTTTCCCTGTTCTCGACTCCCAGGTGAGCCTTGACTCCCGCGTGCGTGAGACGATCAACAGGAACATGCAGGAACCCAACTTGCACACATTCGACGATGCCAAGCTGCAGATCTACACACTAATGCAAAGAGACTCGTATCCCCGCTACATGAACTCCCCAGCCTACAAAAACCTGCTCAACACTCTGTCAGAGCAGTCCCCCGAATCTTAGGGTGGTGTTGACCTGTGATCTTTTAACTGTCTTTAACCCCCTCCCCCCCAAAATCCTTACCACCTTTTTTAAAATTTTCTTTGTATGTTCAGTGTAGGATTACATGAACCGGGCCTCGGGCCTGGCCCCTCCCAGGGATCTCAGCGCTAATGTGATCTGCACCTGACCGAAGACACTCAGGTCTCAAAATCTCCCGAGGGCTCGACATCACAAGTACTGCTACAGATCAACATAGCAAAACACTCCAAAGGAATATGAATACATTTTGTTTCTGTTTTCTTTCTTTTGATAGAAATAATCTATTTTATTTGTGTTCAGAGTTTTTTATGGTCTGTTGTTTTTTTGTATAATTGTTTGGGGGGAAAATGATTCCTACTGTAGACTATATATTTATGAGTTTGTAAATAGTAAAAATGGAATTGTGGGTATTTTATGTAGAAACGCCTGGTTCTATTTACTGCGTATGAAAATCAAAGCTCAAGTCAAAGGCTACGTGTTAGCTCTACTTGCAGGCAGCTTTGTGGGGTATTGTATGATTTTACCTTGGTTTCATCCTGTTTTGTTTCCTAACCTCACACTTTGGTACCTGTGACATCGACTTGGCAACTCCATGTAGAAACTGTGCGTGATTGAAACAACTGTAAGTGTGGTTATCAGAGAAGTAACAGAAAGTGACACTAGCTATTGCAATTTTTTTCCTTAAGAAACTTAAATCAATGATGGAAGGGTATTTTAACTTTCTTTACTCAGTCTCTTAACCACAGAAGATTGCCTATTTAAGATTTAATGTTTGTTTTTTTATTCAAGTGTTACTCAATGCACACCTCATAGATTTAATATAGTTTTACCAGTGTGACATAAGAACCTATGTAAATCTATTTACCAGATAAAGTATTTTTTATTTATTGATATCTATTGCCAATACAGAAATACCAACAAGTACAAATTATATTTAAGTTCTATATGGAGTAAACTATACTATTAGGTTAGGTAGGTAAATCTCAGGAACACTTTATTTTATGAGTTATTTCCTGTAATTTCCTATTAATTTCTTGGCTGTTTCCTAAAGAAGAACTAAGAAATGTGGTACTAGTTTTGGAGAAAATAAGAATTGCGCCATTTAAACCCATGTAAAACAGCTATCCTGACTCTATTTAAAAGTAAAAAAAAAAAATACATAAAAATATCTTGTGTTTAATCCATAGAATCCATAGAAAACGTCTAAAACAGACAACCAGTGGCGACTAAAGGAAGTTCCTGCTCCCAGCCAACAAATAGTCTGCCACAGAACCACCGATTAAAACAGCTATTTTCAGATTTTATACTTTGTATGGATTAAACAAACAAGATATTATGTGTTAAAAAGCTTTAGAGGTGCTGGTAAGAGGATTTTGTAACTGTTGGACAGAGCCAAGCTAGCTGTTTATACCTATTTCCAGTCATTATAAGGTAAGCTAGCCTATTGGTCAGACATTAGAGTGATATTGATTTTCTCACCTAATAAAAGCAAATACATGTATTTAATTCTCCATTTAAGTGCTTTTGCCTGGAGACAAATTTGAGTTTTTTTCATGTTCAGCTGACAATTATTTCAAATGAATGAACTGGATGTTACTGCCTCTACCTTTACCAATAATTAGTACTTAAATATGTAGTTCTTCTCAGGAAACTTCTTGGATATTAACAGGAAATTACAGACAGGTAAAATAAAGCATCACTGAGATTTGTGAGAAAATGTTTGATAGCTCGTGGAGTCATTTGTGTATCATCCTGCAACTTTGACTTAAAAATCGGTTTTAAAATCCCACCTGCAATATAAAATTGACTTCTGATTAAAACTGACTCTGGGGGTCAGGCCAGGTTAGCAGCAACACCAAAGCTACCATGTAAACTGTGTTCATACGCTTGTCGAAAAGCGTTTCCATTGACTAAAATTGGAGTTGCCAAGTGTTAAATACGTTTATGTATTCTGATAGTTTTAGTTGAATTACTTTGTTGCCTCACAAACATGTCACTCAAAGACAAGATCCTCACATGGGGAAGTGCCTTGACATTCAATTTTATGACATCTTTCTCATGGGCAACAGTTGTTTTCAGACTCTTGCCATAAGGGTGGTTACTGGAGCACGACACCAGTTTACTGGAAATTGTCCCTTTCTTTGGCCAAACTATTGCATGTGTTTTGTCTTGATTCCTTAGTCGTGACTACATCAGTCCATTTTGGTAGCGCTACTAAACAGAATGGCGGAGGGTAATGACAACACATGTCTTTATTTGCTGAGGACATAAAGATCAATGGACAGGGCTGGTTGATCTGAACTTCTTGCCAACCTGTGTGCTTCACGGTGGCACTTTTACTTGTCTTAGAGTTAACTTTAACTTACTATGTGCAATTTGAGCAGATGGATACACCGCGCAGATCAACCTCAAAACACAATCTAAGCCAATGGTTTGGAGTGATGCCTATAAATGTTGTTTCTTCTTCTGTTTACTATATGAAATGTGTTATTTTGCGCTGAGTTTACTGAAGAATACATTTTTAAAAAACAAATAATGTGAATGTTTACAGTATATGGTTTAGTTTTTTTTTTTTTCTGCTACTCTCCAAGAAAATAATGACTTGTGGGCATTTTGATTGAGATAAAATAAAGCACAATAATTTTACTGACTCTGGAATGATTTGATCACAAAAGCACGACACAACCATCAAGTACTAAAACTTTACTGGAAAAAATAAATAAATCTAAGTCTAAGTCAATTTACCTGATATTAAGCATTACCAGATTTTTTTATTTAAATTCTCCTACATCACACAAACTGATAGGGTAAAATTAGATAAAGAAAATCTCCAATTCAATGTGTATATAAAATGGGTTAGTGGAATAAAATATCTATTGAAGAAGGTACAATTTAGAAGCTAAGGGTCATTGTCAAATCATACACTAGAACTACTGTGATGCCCTTACCACAGAACTAACACACACTCTATGTTGCACACTTCATATGTATTAATATAGAAGTTGGCATTTTGGCCTCCAGGCCTTACTCAAAATCAGAGTTTCAGTGATTAGTTCAGGTTGTACTTACCTATTGATATAGCAGTAAAAAATATTCCGATAAATTGGCATCGGAAATGTTCCCAACTCTTTTGGCTTGTCACTCCAATGTCCTGGAGACCAGGTTTAGTTTATCAGAAACATACAGAACATTGTTTTATCACCTTGTTAATTCATAACCATGATTTTGAACTGATGACGTGTTTCAGGTGTCCACTACAGAAAATTATGCATTTCTTCTGTTTGGGGTCTCAAAGCTTAATCAAGATTAAATACAATGAATTTTCCTATTTTCCATATCTGTGACAGTACTGCAGCACCACCCCTCCCAACAAATATGTCTGTTTGCTTTTGGCATTTTATAACAAGACGTCTAATAGGGAGTCAGACTCTGAGGTCTAATTAACCACAAACAGTAGTAATGTCCCCACTGTAGACTTTCTTGTCTTGAATATATTTCTTAATGATAGCCAATAATATATATAAAGTATGACATACTTACTTATTTTTTTGGCCATTTCAACATAAAATGTGCAAGAACAATTTGTTTTACAATGAGTGACCACTTCAATATGTCAAAAAGAAACAAAATACATTATTAAAAGGAACAGGTTTGAATTTACAATTATTTTTGAGGAAGTAAAGCCAGTGTCAACAAAACACATGGTTCAAGATATTTACTTTAATTACTTGTAGTGTCAACCTAAGCACAGTTGTGTATGTAAGATTAGGGAAAAGGGAGGAAAATCAAATACTGTATGTAATAAAATATGTGTGGATGTGGGTGTTTGTTTTTCTCTTATTCCCGACCCCCAGGTTGAGAAGCACTGCATTACAGGATGATGTTTACACAAAATATTAGCTTTTCCTGTAACAGACCAAATACCATCTCTAATGGTTTAGTATCTTTTTCTGCTGCTCTCAAAGAAAATAATGACTTGTTTTTGACACCACATGACACAACCATCAAGTAATAACCCAAATCTAAATACTGTTCTGTGACTTTACCTCTAAGCATTAAAGGGTTTTAATGTATCAGCAGATAAATACTGGTATGAAGGTAAATATGAGAAACATGATTTTCTACCATTGAAGTGTGTACAGTAAATGTTGGTTACTTTCTCCATCAAACAAATTAATCAGGCGAATCTAGAATTTGTGTTGCTCATGAGATGGGTTAATGGGATTATGTTTTCTTCTAAGGTACATCTTAATAATGAATGAGACGCTGACCTTCATAAGATAATACATACTAAAAAGTGTGGTGAGGCACTTATCAGATAGTAGAATTAGAGAAAAACACATATATGTGCTCATAGCAGTTGTTATTAGATGACATTTTAGCCATGCAGCCTTCTTCAAGTTTCAATGATTAAACCGACTGTCAGACTGGTCTGGGTTCAGTTTGTGTGAGTGAAGCAGCACGACTGCTTGTCAACATAGAGTGGTTGCACCTGGCAATTAAAAAAACCCAGAGGAAAGGGAAACAATGGTGTTCCTTTTCTGGTTCAGCCAATGAAATTATGCCGTCCCTCGACAGATTAATATGCATCCATCAGCATTCACTTTGATGTGATGAATATTCCACCAATAACAAATGTATACTACTCCACACACACACACACAGTTTGTCCTCTCAGATCCTTGATTGCATTAGTGTAATTTTCCCATAGCCAGAAGAGATTCAAGACTAATGAAAAGCACTTCTTTTTAATCAAATGGATTACACTTTATTGGGAAATTAAATAAAACGATGCAATGTTGTGAGGGGAAAGCAAAACAACATTGTCCAAAGTGTTAAAACTACATATAAAAAATGCAGATAAAAGAGAATGACACAAGACTTATCGCATATATCTGACAGTGAGAAACAACTAATAACAATAGTAAAAGATCTTGGGGCGGGGGGAAGGTGTTGGGGAACTGACAACGAGCTCAATCTATGACGGGATATTAATTCAAACAGTAACCGCAGTGGCATCTTTGTATGGCATGTTGTGTACCATGTACCACAGAATTCAAAGCTCCGATCTGTTGCAGAGAGACAGAACCTGGTCCAGGAATTTTGCTACTTGTCCGAGTGCCGTGGAAATGCCTGCAGACTCAGCAGAACTAGGACACAAAGAACACAAAGAACACAAATGAATACCCAGACGCTGTAATATATATATGTAACACTGATGATCAAGTAGTCATAAATAATAGCCCAAAAAACCCTTTTTCCCCAACCAATTAAGACTGACAATTGTAATATTTTTTTATCCATACCCACTCACTGTAGTGTCATCCTATGTGTAATTGAATTTATTTATTTTTCTAATCATTCCACTCTCAAATTGCTTGAAAGACACTTATTTTCACAAATAAATGCAACACAAAATGTATTACTCCCCTATAATTTCACATATTTGAACAGTGGAATCAGAGAATTTACATTTTTGCCTGATAAATGACATAAGAAAGGTAAACTAAATAGCAATTATGTTGCAGATACGTTTTCTGTTGATCGATTAATAGATGAATTGACAAATCATTTCAGCTCTAATTTGTTTAAAGGCCGAATAGCATTGATGAGTTCAGCACAGGTGGAACTCTGCGTGGAGAGTGAACAATAACACAGTCAACAAAGCCCACGTCGACCAACGTACCTTCCATCTATTCCCGCATTCATTGCAGAAGACAAACGTGGTCATTGGCTCATCAGCACTGCGAGTTTGAACCTGGGAATAACACAAACACGCACAAACCATTGAATACAATATCGTACGGAAAAAGCAGCAGCTTACGGGTTGACTTAAATCATGAAATACTCAAGTAACCAATTTCTCACATTAGTTACTTGATAAGCATACAGTCATAACAAAACTACAATGCACCATGTTATTTTAGCCAAACCGTGTAAACGGAGAACATGGATTTAAATCAACCTTTCCAGCAGAGGAACAACAATGTGATGTCCATGTTGGAATGACTGAAAGAAATCCCAGTGTTTCAACAGTAGTGAAACTGATTAGAACCACACCTGTAACTTTTTAGACCATAACATCTGTCTGCTACTGCCACAGTTAAAATGAAGCATTAATCTGTTTGCAACAATCCGTACCTGTGTGTATGTGCAGCACTTCCCCTTGCATTTGCCACAGGTAAATAGATCAGTCTGAGTGCCTCCAGTGGTGGCCATCTGGTGGTCCCTGACAGCCTCTTTGGTCAAATTCTTTCTCATTTCCTTCAGCTCGTCGCTGGCCATTTCCTACAGAAAAAGAACAATGTCATTTATGATGCCTTCAAGTAAACTAATCTAACTCTGTCACTGCTGTAACAACAGATATACATTACATAATCTAGTTATACAAACATGGAATTAAAAGTTTAAGATTTGTCACTGCACTGTTGGAATAACTACTGACTGCCAACACACCTCTGCAGTCATCTTTGCCATCCGCTCAGGGGTTACACTCCCGCATAGCACAGTCTTCCTTAAGTTAGGGTTCTTCACATCTTTCAAATTCGAGATTCGGCTCCGCACGCGGTTCTTGTATTTCATGTCTGTGTTTTTAAACTCTTGGAAGATACGTGATAGCAAGTCAAGGAATTCAACTTTGGATATGTACTTTTTATGCCTCATTATAAATACTAGAGCCTTTTAGGCGTGTTAGTGATTAACTTGTCAGTTGACTGGCTAAACATAAAGCCACAACAAATTCATTTGGGTACAGACCTAATGGGGTTAAAACATAGCAAAATCCAGAGACACATTTTCCATTCAGTGTAAAGGATATATTCTTCGACCTGTGCTCCAAGTTCATCACAATCAGCACCAATAGCAATATGATCATCTGGGGAGGGGATGGAAAGTCAGAGAGGACTAAATGTTTTGTAAAATTTTGTAAATGAAACCAACAGTAATCAATCACAATACCGTGGTGAAAATGTGTTGATAACATTAGAATAACAGGATTACCTCCGGTCTGCAGGGCGTTGGATATCAGCTCTCTGCACTTGAGCCTTATAGAGTCAGAGGTGCTGGGGGCACGAGGAAAGGTGTTGATTAATGTGCTGGTGGAAACTTCAGAGGGCTCGCTCTTGCTGCTGGAGTTACTGCTGGAGCTGCTGCGGGAGCAATAACACAGGAGATCTTGAATCAGCTACTGAGCAAACCACATTTTGAAAGAAAAGGATGTAAAGAAAGTGCATCCCATTTCTACATCGGAATGGTAAAACATTTGTCTTGACCATCAGAAATACTTGGAAGAATATGATTATATTTCTTGTTACCTCTCTTCTTTTGCCTCTGGGCTTCCCTGCGATGGAGACACAACTGGTGTAGTTTGTTCTTTCCTCTTTTCATCTGAAGATTTATCTCCATTACCAGGCTCATCTAGAGTACAAGTAACAAACAATAAACAAGTAAGAAAATAATATAACACAAGAGATGGCCAACATTAAAGAGGTCAATACTTTTGTATGCTTGACAACATGAATAGCAGTCAGCCACCCAGCTTTCCTTTAATGGTTTTAATATTTTTTTTTGTAGTGTTGAATAGTGTTTATTTATAATATCTG